CAAAGTCTCATTTTCTAGCCTGCAAGTCTAAAGTCATTCCTATACTAGAAATGGGGTCACGTTAGCTCCTCAGAAGTTACAGTGAGGTATGCGGTCACTAGTAAGGTTCCTGCCCATCACTGCTTTCCTCAGCTCTTCCAAGTTTGTTTACCTCTGGATAGCAACCAAGCAGCAGGGAAACTCACTCAGGGATTATGATCTCCAGTTGGGTTTGTTGGGTTTTTGACGTTCTAAGCTTGACTCATTATGTAGGCTTCTGGCCATAGTCTAGCCTCTAGCAGATTCAAGGTTTGAGCCCTGTTATATCCTCCCTTCCTCTGCTGGGACTGAATCAGTGAGTATGAAGAAGGCAGCAAATAGGCCACTAAAACAGATGTCAGGGGTGTCCCTACTCGGCTCTTCCCCTTAGTCACAATATATGTTCTCATCTTCTTTTATGCAGTTAAATATTAAACATGGTACATCATTGATGGAACAAAGTTAAAACTGGATGTGATGAACACCCAGACACTTCTCTGCATCCCAGCAGTTAATGCTAATGGATGTTCCTTTCCTTACAAAAATAAAGGAAAATACAGTTGATAGAATTCTCAGCCCTCAGCTGTCCATAGTACAGGGCGTAGACTCTTAAACCAGAGAGAGGGCACTTGGATCAAGAGTGTTTAGTCAGACCACTAGAATTTCCTTTTCAACACAGCCATGATCCAAACCTCAATCCTACCTAGGAACCCTCCATCATGAGAGGACTCTGCCCATCTTTCTGCTTTGGAACCACTGGTGGATTTAAAGTGCTGAGAAAACATAACACCTTTTGGTTCGCAGCACAGCTCACTACAGACTATGTCCCAGAGCCGGGCTCGTGATAACTTTTAAAGGCAGTCATCTTCAGTAAAATGAGAACTTCCTATTTTGATTTTGCTCCTTTATTAGTAATTACTAGAATTGCAACTAAGGAAAGTTTTATATTAAGACTTAAATTCAGTAGCACCTATTTAGGTGGGTCCAGATTTCTTCTGAGTTTGTGTTGGAACTTTGAGAAGCAGGTAGTCGACAATGGAGGTGATGCTAAAATAAATTGTATTATCTTTTTTTTGGTTTTCTGTTTTGAGTGAACATGCATGGGTTTCACTTCTCAATGTTGGTCAATATCATGTGATAATGTATAAGAAGATAAAGGAAAGACCTTTGTACCTGAAAATCTCATAATCTCCATTTCATTAGATTTTTTCCCCTCTTAGGGATAAAGTAAGGCATCCTTTAATACAAGTAATATGACAGCTTATTTCAGGCTTGTGCTTGCACACTGCAAAACTTATTTCAGCAGGTGTGCTTTCTGGCAGGTAATGGTTCTCTAATGTGTACATCTTCTTGTATATACAAGCTCCAAAGATGGGCAATACAAATTGCTAGAAGAATAATTTAATCCTTTCTAAATGTGTTTTTTGTTGCAGAAGAGGATGAGTCAGCATTGAAGAGGAGCGAACTTATTAACTGGTATTTGAAAGAGATTGAATCAGAAATAGACTCTGAAGAGGAACTTATAAATAAAAAGAGAATCATAGAGAAGGTCATTCATCGGCTCACACACTATGTACGTACACAACTGTTCTTGCTCCGGTTTTAATGGGAAGGAGCTCGTGGCTTACATTTGTAGGTTCATTATGGAACAGTTTCTTGATCGTTTCTTTGGAATCCTTGTTGTTTAAGCCTGGCAAGTTAAGAGACTCTGAACAACAGGTTTATACCCTGTCCTGTCCCATGTCATCCTCATAATTTCTGATACACTGTAGCCCACTGCTGCAGCCACTCTGTCAGTCCACCTAGTTGAGGGTCTTCCTCTCTTATGTCTACCCTTAATCCTCCCAAGCATGATGTCCCTCTCCAAGGACTAGCCCCTCTTAGCAACAGGCCCAAAGTACGTGGGGCGAAGCTTTATTATCCTTGTCTCCAAGGTGCACTCTGGCTGCACTTTCTCCAAGACATTTGTTTGTTCTTGTGGACACTCCATGGGATATTCAGGGCTCTTCTGCAACACCACAACTCAAAGGCATCAGTAATTCTTCTGTCATCCTTATTTATTGTCCAGCTCTCAGATATATAGCAATTGATCGGAAAGACCAGAGCCTAAATCAGATGCACCTTAGTCCTGAAACTGACGTCATTGCTTCTCAGTTTGGAGAGGTCCCACTCTGCAGACTTTGCCAATGTAATACGTCTCCTGGTTTCCATTAACAGTTTGAGGAAGAAATAATCCACTGCTGTCAAGTTGGCTCCAACTCACAGTGACCCTACAAGACAGAATAGAGCTGCCTCATGAGGTTGCCAGTCTATAAATCTTTGCAGAATCACACTGCATCATCTTCCCTGTGCAGAATGTAGCTGGGGGGTTAGAACTCTGTTCATGTCACTTGCTTCACAGAGCCCCAGGCCTGGTTTAATCTGTCTTGTCTTAATCCAAGCATCTAAATAAAAGGTGAACAAATCTCATTTTAAATACAGCTTCACAGATCTTGTGCAGACAGTTCCTGTCAGTCTTCTAATTGCACTGCCCAGTATCATTTGCCCTAGTCAGGCTGTTGTGCTCTTAGAAGATTTCTCCATACATTGCATATACTCAGCTTCACCCTCTCTCACTTCCCCTGTCCTGGATGTGTCCTGGCTGTCTGATGGTGCAGAGAGAATTTTTGTCGTTTTTGTCCTTCTCTCATTCTAAGCCCATATATTCTTACTGTCAGCTTCTCTCTCTCTCTCTCTCTCTCTCTCTGTGTGTGTGAAAGTTTACAGTTTTTCATTCAGTAAGGTGTGTCTGATACAGGCCATGATCTTTGCAATCACTTGTTATGCATCAGAGAGCTGGACAGTGACTAAGGAGTATAGAAGGAGAATTGATGCCTTTGAACTTTGGTGTTGGAGAAGAGTATTGAATGTACCATGGACTGCTAAGAAAACAAACAGATTCATCCTGGAGAGGGTTAAACCGGGCTGCTCCTTGGAGGCAAGGATTCTAGGGTTCCGTCTAACATACTTTGGACATGTTCTAAGGAGAGACAGGTCCTTGGAGAAGGATCTCATGCTTGGGAGGGTGGAGGGACAGTGTAGGAGGGGAAGACCCTCTAGGAGATGGATTGATTCGGTGACTGGGGTAATTGGGATGGGTGTGTCAGATACAGTGAGATTGGCACAGGATAGAGCAGAGTTTAGGGCTGTTGTATAAGCGACTCGACAGCACATAACAACAGCAGTAACACATTTTATTTTATAACATGATTTATAATTAAGTCATAGTTTCTTTAGTGGTTTGTCCATTGATAAAGTTGGGATCAGAAATAGCATTTGATTAAGCAGTTTTGCTACTTAGTATATATCCCAAAGAAATAAGAAATATGGCACTCACACAAAAATACATCCACACCCATTTTCATTGCAGCATTATTTACAGTAGCAAAGAGATGGAGACAACAGCCCAGGTATCTGTCAGATCTCAGACGTCTTTTCTGTTTACACTAATTACTTACGTAAACTCATTTGATGCGTGAATTTAAAACCATCTACTAATAAGTCCTATACTTGTTTCCAGCCTCACCTCCTTTACCTTCTATACATGCATCCGCTGCTTGCTTGTCTGTCTCACATGGGCCATGCTCAGCGGGCTTCTCTCCCTCCATTTTACCCTGTAACCCATTTGCTATAACCCAGCACTGAGATCTTCCTTGATTCCACTTTCTGTTCTAGCGCATAGTGACCCTGTCTGTGCTATATATGCTCCATTCCCTTCACCCTCTCCACCCAGGCACCAGCTGCAGGAGTCTTCTAACCATTCTCCCCCCTCCCTATGTTGGAACGCTTTGCCCACTGATCTGGTCAGCTGGCAGTTTTTGTTTTCACTGCTCTGCTCCAAGACCTTCCAGTACTTCTCTTTACATTAAGCAGTCTTGTTCACATGGTCTGGAGAACCCTGCACAATCTACACTGCCCCCGTCTTTTAATTCATTTTTACCGTTCCCACTGCCCGTAACAGCCCAGCTCTCCTGCCTTTGTTGCTGTTCTTAAACGCTCTGAACGTAAAGGCTTCAGTGCTTGCCCTCAGTTTCCTTCTTCAGTGGCCCTCCTCCCTTCCGGTGTCCACTCACATCCACTCATATCTCCCAGGGGCCTGTCTTACCTCGCTTTCTCTTCACAGTGTTGTCACTGCCCAGCAGGGTGTACTGGGGTGTTTGGTTTGTTCCCCTTTTTAGTATGTAAGCTCCAGGACCTGCAGTGGTACCTGGTTTGTAGGGTGCTAGGGATCTTGGATGTTGTAGAGGATTGTCGTTGCCCAGATTCATACCTGCAAGCATTTCTCTGCCCTTTTTGAGATTACACTTACAGCACTTGCTCTAATGTGCCAGGAAATCTGACTAAAGTCACAGTATTTCTTGAAATAGCTTTTATATTTTTTCCCCCCGCTTGGACTCCAAGTTCAGTGCTGTGTTTGTGTTTCGCTTATTCACTGATGCACGTTGTCCTCCCTCCCCCTAGTTCCCTTTGCCATGCTTCTCCTGTTCCAGGCTGTGGTCATACACGTAGTTCCTAATCATCCATTCCTTTCACATTGTCCTTTCACCCATCCAGTGCCGTGTTCTTCATCAGTCCATTCTTTTCCCGCTCCTTCTGCCCAGTCATATTATTACAGTAATGGGCAGTAATTGTCCCTTTGTGACTGAGCTATTTCACTCAGTATAATGTCTTCCAGACTCATCCACTCGGTGTAATGTCTTCCAGACTCATCCACATTGTCTAGTGTTTTACAAGTTCATTCCTTTTCAGTGCTTTGTGGATTAGCTTCTATTTTATTTATTTTTTTTAATGTTTCAAAAAGAGTTAATGGCATGAAAAGGTCAGCATCCTAATGGTAGCAAGTTTTAACAAAATCTTAATAAGTGATTGAAATATAGTCCTTTTTTAGGAGTCTTGAGAAGTGGGAGACAAACGTTCAGAAGAATCGAGCCTGGTGTTTGGGGCATTTTCATTCTAAAGCTCTAAACCTGAGGGAAAATATTTATGTTTCACAGGATCACGTTCTAATTGAACTCACCCAGGCCGGACTGAAAGGCTCTACAGATGGAAGTGAGAGCTATGAAGAAGATCCCTACCTGGTAGTTAACCCTAACTACCTGCTGGAGGACTGAGTGCTACCAGCTGGAGCCGAGCTCTAAGCCCTGGAGCCTGGGGAGCTGCTGCTGGGGAGAGAGGTGCTGCATTAGGAAGGTCTTCACCATAAATAAGAACTGAGAGGATGGTCTAGGCATCACAGTCCTGCCATGTGCTTTTACCCAACACAAGCTTCCTTTACTGCAATTTTTGTACAAATGAAGTTGGGACCCAATAATGTATGGTTTTTATAACTAAGACCTTTATTTTTCACGTGTTTCCAAGTCTGTTCCTTTTATGGTTTATTGTATCTTACTGAATAAATAACTTTTATTGCCAACTAATACTGCTGTTTACCAAAATAAAATAACTTGTTGTATAGTCCTCTGTTGGATTTCATTCTGTCAGACTGGTGGGATTATTCTTATTTCCATGAACTTGTGAGTATGAATCTGCCCTCTATTTGAACCTGGAATGAGGATGTAAAAGCATGATTAACTTTAGGATTGGCTTCCCAAGACTAACGGTTCTTCTTTATTCTCCAAAGATGTATTATAAAAATAAAATACTTGGTCTTTCTGCCCCCCCCTTATCTATATTAATGACTTCTGTGTTCTAAGGGTAATTTCTCAGAATTGGTTTCTAGCCACTTTTGAGAATTGTCATTTTCTAGGTTGTAAGTGATCTTTAAATTTTATGGCTTTTCTTTAGGCAGAATTACTACTGTTTATGAAACTTAACAGTTCCTGAGACTTAGCAGTGATCAGTTTGTTCATGCTGTCGCGCTCCCTAGTGCAGCTTTCAACAACCGATGAAATACTGACTGGGACCTGCAGTGCTGTTGGGGGGTGCCTTTATATGTGAGCTTGTATATAGTAATGTTTCATGCTCCCCTGGTTCATGAATAGTTGGGTTGGAAATAGTCAGCAGATGAATGATAATATAGCTCCTGTCCCCAAAAAATATCTTGGTGGTGGTGGTACAGCATCACTGAGTTGGAACCAACCCATAGCTGACCCTCCAGTAGGTTTTCAGAGGTAGTTAATCACAAGGGAGGAGATGGCCCATCCTCCCACCAAGCAGCTGGTAGATTCAAACCATGTGCCTTCGAGATTGCAAATGAAGCTTCTTAGCGCTAGGCCACCAGAGCTCAAAAAGTATGTTTCCATCTAGATAAGAGTAGCCTAGGAAAGGCCTGCCTCAACTTTGGAGGAGGAACCCTGGATACAAATACTCCCTGTCAATGCGCAGTGTCCACACTCCAGACAGACCCTCTACACTGGGCAGGATGAGGGCATTTAGTGAAGCCCGCAAGAGATTCCTCCCCCACTTTCATTAGGAAGAGCTCTTCTACCCATTCCAACTTGATGGCTAAGTATTTGCCCAAAGAAATATTTTAAACCTAGGAAAAAGTCACTCCTTTAATTGGGGTATTTGCCTTTCTTCCCCAGTTCTGCCCTGGTGAGTAGGAAGTTAAGAGCAAGATAATGTACTATATGCATAGTGATTTCTGGTGTCCTGGTGGTAAGGAGATGCACTGGCATCCCAATGGCATGTGGTTTGAATCTAGCTGCTCCACAGAAGGATGGGTAATCTGTGATTTACTGTCTCTGAAACCCACCTGGAAGGTCAGCTGTAAATGGGTTCCAGATCGATGGTACATGGTAACAATGGTTCAGACCATTTGGTGACACCTAGGGCTCAAGAGTCAAAACCCACTCAGCTAATGTGTAAATAGCATGGGAGATTGCCAGTCTTTCTCCAAGAAGCTGCTGGTGGAGATGTACCACCTTTGGGTTAGCCGCACAACTGTTAAAGGTTTAATCCCAGATGATTGGGCTCCTCAAGTGTTGACGTGGCCAAGCGTGCCACGGCCGAGGTGGTTCAGGCTCATCACATCACAGGCTATTCTCTCAGCTGGCAGCCTTGGACAGCTCCCCTTCATTGTTCCTTCAGCAGTACCCTTCCCTCCTAGCAGCATCCAGGCCTGCTGGTGTCTGACATTTTGGTCCACCACTGCTGCTGGTCCACAGCTCTAAAAAGTGTATTCTTTTACCCTGGCTCAGGACAGTTTCTAGTGCAGAATTTCTATATCCTAAATGATGGGGCAAAAGCATTTGACTGCGTGGATCACAAGTTATGGTAACACTGAGAAGAATGCGAAGCCCAAAGCACTTAATTGTGCTTGTGTGAAACCTATACCTAAACCAAGAAGCAGTTGTCCAAACAGAATAAGGGAACACTGCATGGTTTAAAAGGAGGAAAAGTGTGCATCAGAGTTTTATCCTTTTTCCATACCTATTCTATCTGAATGCTAAATCATTCGAGATGAACTTTGAAGAATGTGACATCAGGATCAGAGGAAGACTTCGACACACCTACCTCATTACTCAGTATGTCAATCTGTATCATCCAAGGTCTTCCTCTCCTGCACTGTCCCACCACTCTTCAAGTATGATGTTCTTCTCCAGAGACTGGTCCCTCCTGGCAACATGTCCAAAGTATGTAAGGCAGAGTTTAAATGTATAGCCAAATATGAAGGTTCTTCAAAGGAGCAGCCTGGATTCACCCTCTCTAAGACAGACCTGTTTGTTCTCTTGACCATGGTACTCTTCTCTAGCACCACTGCTTGAAGGCATCAGTTCTTCTGTCATCCTTAGTCATTGTCCAGTTCTCTAACGCATAGCAAGTAATTTCAAAGACCACGAACTGGTCACCTTAGTCTCTGAGTTGCTTCTCAGTACTCTGGAAAGATCACTGACAGCAGATTTACCTAATTTGTCTTTTGATTTCCTGACTGCTGGTGCCAACATGGCCTAGTGGTAAGAATCTGCTGCAGTCGTGAAGGCATGTGGCTCGAATCCACCAGCTATTCTACAGCAGGATGGGCCGCCTCCTGTGTGATTACTGCCTCTGAATAACCTGCTGGAGGGTCAGCTGTGGGTTGGTTCTCACTTGATGGCACACAGCAACAGTTGACACTTTGGCTATGTTGATGTAAACATTGCTTAGTACCTAACATTTAAAATATTTTTGTTATAATAGACAATTTGAGAGGGAAGACCTATTAACATAAAAAGCTACATCTCTAATCAGAAAACCGAAGTATTTTTATACCTCAGTGTCAAAAATTCATGTTTTATAATCACTTAGCAAGGCAGAGATATTTAGGCACATTTCTTTCTGGAGGTTTGTTGTTGGGTTGGAACTGACCCATAGCTGACCTTCTGTCAGGTGTCCAGGCTGTGTATCACAAATGAGCAAACTGTCCATGTCTCCCTCAGAGCCAGTGGTGGAGTCAAACCATCAGAGAGGTGTGGCCTTTGGAACAGCAACATCACAGTTGAAATTGAAACACATTTTAGGTAGAAGACAATTTTAAAACTTAGATGAGCATGAATGTTGAACCACCAATTTAGTTTCCAGAAATCTTAAAGAAATGGTGTCACATGTGGACAAAAATGTACATAAGGATATTTGCAGCATTCTTCTGGCAACACATTGAAAATTAGAATCACACTGTGTTAAATATGCGAAAGGTTAAGTTCTAGTCTATCTTTACTGTTGAATGCTATGCATCTGTTGATATGAACAGCATTCTAAGCTATTGAGTGAAATGAAGAAAGCAGAAGGCATGATTCTATAGATGTTCAGTTGGGTGAGATGTTTGTTATGTGCCGTCGAGTCGCTTGTGACTCATAGTGATGTGTAAAAACAGGCACGTTTGCATTTTTGTGTATTTGGTCAAGTTGGGAGGAACGGCTATTCCTTGGAAAGGCATAGTAGGCTTGGAAAGGTCAATGATGGGTTAACACAGTGACTGCAGCAATGGGCTTCTGTGTTGGAGATGAAGATGGCACAGGAAGATAGGACAGATTCTGATCTGTTGTTCATAGGGTACTCCACTCAAGGGCACCTAACAATAAAAAATAGCTATCACTGATGGGATTGTTCTATATACTCTAGAAAAAGTACCTATTTAACCTTCACAAGCCACCAATAAACCTATTCTACAAATGAGGAATGTGAGGGTACAGATAGATTAAGGGGCTATCAGATGAGATTCCAATGCAGGCATTGTGAGTGTTGGAAAACCACCAGAATATGGGGTGAAGGAGGAAGAAAACACAGTAGCTGAAAGGGTATTTGCAAATTGTTTTTATGTTGTTATATGACATCCAGTTGCTTGTGACTCGTAGTAACCCTACCCTGCTCTATCCTGAGCCAACCTCATTGTCTGGCACATCTACCCCCATTACTCCAGTCACTGAGTCAATCCATTTCATCGAGGGGCTTCCTCCCTTGTGCTGTCTCTCCACTCTCCCAACCATGAAGTCCCTCTCCAAGGAGTGGTTCCTTCTTGCAACATGGCCACATAATGTCAGATCAGAATCTTTGCCTCCAAGGAGCAGCCTGGTCTCAGGATGAACTTGATTTTTCTCCTAGAAGTCCATAGTATATATTCAATACTCTTCTCCAGCATGCCAGCTCAAAAGCATCAATTATCATCCCTTGTCATTGTCCAGCTTTCTGATGCATACCAAGCAATTGCAAAGACCATGGCCTGAGTCCGACTCACTTAGTCTCCAGACTGACACTGTTGCTCTTCGGTACTCTGGAGAAGTTCCTGACAGACTTTCCCAATGCAATATGTCTTTTGATTTCCTGGCTGCTGGTACCAAGTGTTGATTGTGGAGCCGAGCAAGCTAAAGCTGTTCACAATCTTAATCTCTTCACTGTCCATCATGATACTGCCTGTTGGCCCAGTTTTCAGATTGGTTGTTTGTTATGTGTCATTGAGTTGCCTGAGACTCATAGCAACACTATCTACAACAACTCTGAATCCTGCTCCATCCTGTCCCAATCTCACTGTCTCTGACATACCTACCCCCATTACCCCAGTCACTGAATCAATCCATCTCATCTAGGGTCTTCCTCTCTTGGGCTTTCCCTCCACCCTCCCAAGCATGATGTCCCTCCAAGGACTGATCTTTCGATGCAACATATCCGTAGTATGTCATACAAAGTTTTAGAATCTTTGCTTCCAAGAAGCAGCCTGGTCTCACCCTCTCCAGGCTGAACCTGTTTGTTCAAGATTAGAGTGCTAGTTAGGGAGTTAACACTAACTCAAAAGACTTGTCTCCTCTCTGATGGTTGGAATCCACCAGTGGCTCAGCTGGACAAAGATGAACAAACTTGTAGTTTACAGCCTTGGAAACCCAATGGAAGTTCAGCTAGGAGTCAGTCCGGACTCCATGACATTATGAACCATGTTGATAGTAATGGTATTGATTAACCATGGAATAGCTTCATTTCCGTAGATAACTCGGTTAAACATTAGGCACTAATAATCACTCGGTATTTTACAGCCTCAGCTGGCGTTATAAAGCAAGGACACCCCATGTCTGTGCGCTTCTTTGGACATGGAGCTGCCTTGGGTTTTCATCTCCCTTGTCCTCGTAAGCTCTTCATGCTGGGGGTTCGACTGGGAGTCCGACAGGAATTTCCTCTCAGCCGCTGGTCCCCTAACTAACGACCTGTTGCTGGGAAGGCAGGGCTCTCGGGCCGCGGCCGATGACCAGGTCGTGGACGTGTGCCGCCTGCCGCTGCCCGCCTGGCTGCGGGCGCACTGGGCGCGGCTGCGCGCGCAGCATGTGACGCACTACAAGGTACTGCTGCCGTGGGCGCGCCCCGAGGCTTCGGACGCCGCCGCCGTGCGCTGCTACCGGCGCTACCTGCGGGCGGTAGCGGGCGCGGGGCTGCGGCCCCTGGTCGTGCTGCTGCCCCGCGCGCCTGCCCTCCCGCCCGCCGGCCCGGCCTTCGCACGCGTCTTCGCCGACTACGCCGCCTACGCCTTCGAAGCTTTCGGGGACCTTGTGGACATCTGGTTCACGTTCAGCGACCTAGAGGCAGTGCTAAGGGGACTCCCCCAGGAGGAGTCCCGAGCTTCGCGTCTCCAGGTCCTGGCAGAGGCGCACAGACAAGCTTATGAGATCTACCATGAAAAGTTTGCTCCTCCGGGTGAGTCCTCATTCACAGCGTCCTAACTCGCAGAGCGTCTTATCCCTCAGGGCGTCCAACCCCTTAGAGAGTCCTTCCGCACCACTTTCCACACCCTTTGCGCTGGTGAGGACTTAGCGTTGCATTCAGGTTTCCCGAAGATAAGGGAGGCTACAGCATCCAGCGCCCAGCATCCTCCTGCAAAGACGCCTCCTTTCCGTGCAGTCACCCCACTGTTCTTGTCTTTTAGCCCGTCCTGCCTCACCTGGCCTCTGATCAGGGCGGCCTGTGTCATGAAGCTGCATTGCTGTGGCGCTGAACAACGCCTCGGGACCCTCCAGAAGCTGTAAATTGCACCGAGGGGTTTGCCCATCTTCCTCTTGCAGAGCCGCTGGGGATCGGACTGCCCGAGTGGCAAGGCTCTTGGGTTAGCTGCGCAACTGCCCAGCCACAACGACACAACTCCTTGCCATCGAGTCTGAACTGAGCAGACCCTCTCCTGGGTTTTCAGAGGCTGTAATCACACATGAGATGGCCACTGGTGCATTCGAACCTGCATAGATGCCCCACGTTGGGGTTAGTAGCGCAACTCCCTACACCACCAGAGCTTCCTTAAGTGCCTGTAATCCTGCCTCTTTCGCATCATAGGTTTTAGAATTTACAACATATAGAATAGTTACATAATACTGAGACTCATGGCCAAATTGACATAAACCGCCACAACCAGCCTAAAGAAAGGAAAAGCTATCTCATTTTGAGAGAAGGTTTTATGCTTAAAGAATTACTTTTAAAAATTGCCCACTTCTGTTAAAATGCTCTGCATATTTAATTTTTAATCTTGATCAGGAGGAATAAAATTATATTCTGTGTTCCTTCTTCTCATGCTTTATTCTGTGTTTCACCAAGACCACTAGATTACCTGCCACAAATTAAATTCTTTTTTTTTTAATCCCTTACTATCTGAAAGAGCTCTGGTGAGCTAGTGGTAAGGAGTTGTGTGTGCTGCTCCCCCAGAAGTGGGGTCTCTCTGCAGGTTCGAATCCACCTGTGGCTCTGAGGGAGGAAGATGGGCAATCTCCCCCCATGCAATATACAGCCTCTGAGAACTTGCTGGAGGTCAGCAGCTATTATATGTAGGTTTAAAGTATATACTACTGTAGGGAATATCATGGAACCATCATCCGGTAAAACATCTAAAACAAGCCAGAATACCACATCTCTAACCTGTCCCCTGGGTGCTCTGGTGGCTTAGTCATAAGGAGCTACAAAGGTACTCAGTACAAATCCTCTAGCTGCTCTGCCAGATGGGCCGTCTCCTCTCGACAATTTACTGCTTCTGAAAACCCATTGGAGGGTCAGCAGTGGGTGGTTCCTACTCGATGGTATTTAACAACAATCCACACCATTAGTAAAGGCCCTCAGTAGTATGAGATGGCCAAACAAGACCTCTGGCCCTGGACCAGTGAGACTGACAGCAGTTTATTAGTTGCACATAGTCACTGGAGAGCTCTGGTGGCTGAGTGGTAAGGTGTTGCACTGCCAACCCAAAGGCACGCAGTCCACCAGGTACTCTGCTAAAGAAATGTAGGTTTTCAGCTAATGGGGACATCAACCAAGTGGAGAGCCATTTTTGCTGGTTAAGAGGAGAACTTACTGCTAGGTCTTTCCTGAGCTCTGTGAGGCTCAAAGATGTCAATGTCATACATGAAAATATTATCCTCATATTACACCCCACATGAAGAACATAAATTCATACGACTGGATTGAAATAGCAATTATTTTGTTACAGAAGTATTTTCCATAGGAAAAAAATTAAAAAGAGATAAATTGTTGACAATAACAGTGGGAGAATGTGGAGAAATTGGCTTCCTCATATACAGCTAGTGGGGGTGTAGGATTGTGCAGCTAGAGGCTGACAGTTCCTCAAAATATTAGACTTAGAGCTAATATGTGCAGTGAAAGCTGTGAGAGCTGGAACTGCAAGGGACTTCTTGAGTTTTCCAGGTTTCACAAGTTTCTCACCTCTGACAGGGGACAGTTTTACATCCCACTTTTCTGTCACTCATTTTCATGGAAAATATTGAATTTTTCTTCTCTGATGAGTTTCTGCCTTACACAGGTTCCAGCTTTCACAGGTTTTACTGTATATTGAACTTCTAGAAAAACTAACCAAATGGAAATCACAGAAGAGTGATCAGTGATGCCTGTGGTGGGGTTAGGGCAGAGGGCACCAAAGAAGCAGCATGAGGGGACTTCCTATAATGCAGTCATCATATCCTGATTTTGGGAGTGGTTACACAGTATATGAATTTGTCAAAACTTATTGAGAGGTCTACTTTTAATGAATGCACTTTATTGAATATAAAACCATATGACTCAGTAGTTTTCTACAGTTTTCTACCCAGGAAATTGACTATGAATGCAACACCATTCTTCCTCTGTTTTTAATTTCCTGAATAGTATACCATATGATTATCTGATTTAAAGTGTCCGAAGCTGGTCCATTGCATCTCATTATGTCGATATTCATGTGTTCTATTTCATTTTAACAGTTTTCAGTTTTCCAACTTCCAAACTACATATAATCCATGTTCCAATTGTTACACAATGTTTGTTATTGATTTTCCTCATTTCAACTGACTTCCAATTTGGGCTCTACCACTACACTACTATAACTATCCTTTTCGTTTAGTGTTCATAAGGTTTTCAAAGGTCTGTTATTTAGGAAGTAAATAACATCCTGCTACCTAGTCTGTCTTAATCAGGAAGCTCCACCAAAACCTTTCCATGATGGGAAACCCTTATAGCGTTTGATACACCAGTGGCACAGATTTCAGTAACCAGCAACCTCAAGTTATCTCAGTACAGCAAACTGAAAGACAAGTGCTACACCCCTTAGAACAACCTTCACTCCAAGCACAATGAATACCAGGACTGAAGGCCCAACCAACTTTTAAATACAAATGCCCGCCTATACAGGGACTGAAAAACAGAGAAAGAATGGTGTTGCATTCATAGTCAAAAAGTCAATTTCAAGTTCAATCCTGAAATACAGTGTTGTGAGTGATAGGATAATATCCATATGCATACAAGGAAGACATGTTAACACTATTATTATTCAAATATATGCTCCTACGTCTAGAGCTGAAGAGGAAAAAATTGATAATTTTGCAGTCCAAAATTGACTGAACTTACAATCAGGATTCATTAATGATGATTGCTGACTGGAATGCAAAAGTAGAAAACAGTGAAGCAGGAACAGTAGCTGGGAAATATGGGCTTGGTGATGGAAATGAAGCTGGAAATAGAATGATTGAATTTTTTATTTACAAAGATTTATTCATTGCAAATACCTTTTCTAAAAGACACAAAAGATGACTTTACACGTGGATTTTACCTGATGTGCTTACATTGTGGAAGAAATAGCTGGAGAAGCTCAGTATCGGTAGTCAAAATTACACCAGGGACAGACTCTGGGTCAGATCATCAATTACACATATACAAGTTCAGATTGAGGAAGAAAAAAATAAAAATAATTCCACAGGAACAAAGATATGATCTTGAATCAATTCCATTGGAATTTTTATGATCATCATTTTTTTATTTTAATTTAGTTTGTTTATTTTTCATTTCAATGAACATCTACAGAGATTTTGGAATTCCATTCATTCATTGTTGCACCCTTCTCC